GGTTGTCGTCCCGGTCCTACTGAGCAGTCACGGCTCCCAGGGTCCCCTGGCTTGTGGGGGTTACTGCTCAGTCAACTTTTCTGGGAATGCCCCAAATCTTGGTTCAATGGATAGTTTCCTCATGGTCAGACTGGGGTCAAAGGAGCCTGGGTGGTGCAGCAGTTTGCAGTTCAAACCCACCTGGCAACTTTGTGGAGGAAAGGTCCACTGGTCTGCTCCCATACAGAAGTTGCTATGGGTTGGGGGCTAACTTGACAGCAACTAACACCAACAGCTTAGGGTTATGGACTCTCTTCACATCACACTGGGTTGGGGGGAGGGGACTGACACATCCCTGGGGATGTTCATCTTGACCACTTGGCTAAAGTAGGGTCTGCCATGTGTCTTCTCGGTGATGGTACCATCACCGAGTCTAGCCCACTTAGGTGGGGCGTCAATCCCACGTCCAGGCAGGGGGAGCACCTACTTGTGTTGTTGGGGTTCCTCTGTGTAGGAGGTGCCTCTCTTCCTCCTAGAGTTGCTGTTCATTCACTGTCTGCATCAGAAAGGCACCCTGTGGTTGCTTTGTTGGTTCTTTCCCTGTTGGCTCCAGTGCCTTTACCATAACCCAGCTGTCCTCCCTCCTGGGAGCCCCTTCTGGCTACTTTGGTGGTGGGTGTGGTGATTCTGACTCATAGAGCCTATATAGTGTTTCTGAGGTTGTAAATCTTTGTGGAAGCAGAACGCCTCATCTTTCTCCCACAGAACAACTCATACATTTGAACCACTAACCTTACAGCTAGTAGCCCAGGTTATAATCCACTGCGTTACCAAGTCTCCTTTCTTATTACTTTACTCTACTTGAAAGGATTCTGCCTGTGTAGACACTGACTCCCCCAAAGGTGAGCTCTGGGGGCAGAGGTTTTGCCTTCCTCCTAGACCTAGCATATGCTTTGTTGTCCTGTGCCAAGCAAGGTAAGAACTAGGTGGTTACAGCAGCCTGCCATTGTATAGGGTGGGAGACCTCATCAGGCCCCACCCATGGGACCTGAAAGACCATTTTCTAGTGGAAGGGGGAAGAGTCCCTGTCACTTGGGTGTCTACCTCCTGGGCCCTAGCGTTGGGCCAGTTGGCCTGGCTCCCTTGTTGGGGAGCCAGCGAGATGGTGCATAAGTCTGGCACACAGGTGCTTAGTTCTGACTGACATGGTCAGCCCTGGCCCTGCCAGTGTTGCAGCCTGAAGGACCAAAGGCAGGGATACTGGGAGCTGAGTGTCCATTTCGTCAGCATGCTATCTGCAGAACTATCACTGGCCAGCTGCAATTCGAGCCATCCACAGTGCACCACCCCTAACAGCTGGGTTCTCCAGGGGCACTGAGGCTGGGGTGGGGGAGGTGGGGAGGTGAGACCCAATGCTGATGGCTGGGCCCACTTGTCCTCTAGTCTCCGGAGTCCAACAGAGATGGAATTTCAGCCTAGGCCTGTGCCTGCATGTGGACAGGCAGCAGGACCTTGAGGTCAGCCTGGTGGGGACCAACTTGGGCAGGGCGCCCATTGTGTATCAGAGCCATCTAGTAGCCAGGGGGCTAGGGAGGTGAGACCTTCACGGAGGCCACAGGGAAGAGGAGGGAAGGGAAGCAATGTGAAGGTATGTCCCACATACTGAGTGCCGGCTTGCAGCAGACAGGGGCAGAAGACAGGACAGGGGTGAGATGTGGGTGGGCAGGAGCTGGGGGAAGACAGAGCAAGGTGGCAGCAAAGAGACAGGGCAGGTAAGTGGCTCAGCGCTGGAGGGAACCCAGGGCCCTCTCAGCAACTGGACCATAGAAGGAGCTGTCTCCCGCCTCACCCCCACCCCCCTCAGCCCTAGAGTGGCTTGGTGGAGAGTCAAAATGTGACCCTGAACATTGTTGAGCCCCCTGTCCTGGCCAGAGCAAGGTCAAAGTTCAGGCTGAGCTGTTTGAAGACCCTCAGAGAAAAGCTCCCACCACTGCATTGGGCACTGAGGACTGCCACCTTGCTCTGTCTGCACCCAGCTCTTGCCTGCCCACATCTCACTCTTCCTGCCTTCTGCCCCTGTCTGCTGCCAGCCGGCTCTCAGCAGGTGTGGCTTGGCCTCTGTCCCCAGGAGTCTGGAATACAGAGCCCCTGGTGCTGGCCACTGGGGACGGGGCTCAGGAAGGGTGGCAATTGGCAGTGGTGTTTTGGAAGGACAGTTGGGGTGAGAGGCTTGGAATGGAGACGGGGTGACAGTTGGCGGTGGCAGCTGGAGAGGCAGTTGGGCCTTGGCAAGGGCGCGAGCCTGGAGGATGGTAGGGTGGGGCAGCCCTGGAGCTGGCCAGTAGCCCCTGGCCCTCAGAGTCCTGGTGGCTGGGTGGTCGTGGGGAGGCCTCATCCACCTCAACGGTGGGATGGGCAGCCTCCCCCAGCTCAGGCGGGGCTCTTCATCAGATTGGCTGCCTCTATCTTTCTGCCTCTGTCCACTGTAAGACCTATGATGATGAACGGTGGGGGGTGAGCACCCCTCTAGCCCACAGCCTCGCTGCTTCTCTCCCTCCCGTCAAGCTTCCAGCAAAGTCTGGAAGAGGGCAGGGACAGGTTGTGGGTAGCTCCCTGGAAAGGGGCAGGCTCCCAGGGCTGTTGCCATGGGGACAACAGAGCTATACCACTGGCTGGAGAACAAACAGGCAGGTTCTAAGACAAGTGACAGCAACAACCTACCTCATAGACAACCCAGCTGGGGGGAAAGGTGGGACTGCCCCTGGGGACCTTGGGAGGGAGCTTGAGGGGAGGGTTTCTGTCTCTTTAATTTCCTTTCCCAAGCTCCTCCCAGCCTTCCCTCTCCAGAGCCGACTGTGAACACTAGAGGCAGTTTCCTGCTTTCGGAGGCAGGAGAGCAGTCTGGCTTGGGACTAGGTCCCCTGCAGGCGCTTGACCCTGGAGCCACACAGTGGGGATGAGACAAGGTGTTGAGCCGGGAAAAGGGCGCAGGGGGCCTGTGAACACAGGTGTGCAGAGTGGCTGTACCAGGAGTCTTCTGAGGGTCCTGCCAGTTAGATGGTACAGCTTGTGGTTCTAATGAGGCCTGCCCCCAAAGCTTTGATCCTGGCCCCTGGGTGGGGTGGGGTGTTGCAGGCAGAGTGTGCAAGGATCCCTGGGCCTCTGAGTCCAAGGCCCTGGCTCCCTAGACCCCTGAGGCCTGGACCCCACAGGGACACTCTGGACACACTCTACAGTTGTTGGGATGGCTTTGTAGATGGGCACAGCACAGAGGAGACCACACAGTACAGTCATCATGTTTATTGTCCTATGTCCTTTCCCAGCTCAGTAAGGGCAGGGCTGAGACTGGTTCACCCTGGCACTCTGGCCACCGTGCCCCCCAGACCCTTTCTTGCTAACTCTAGATGCCCAGGTCTGCATTCTCAAGTTGTACCGGGTTTCAGAGGCCCAGCTTGGCCTCTCCAATAGGGATTGCAATCCTAGCTCCGATGCTGTGCTCTGAGAAAAGGCGGGGCTCCTGGGCTGGGCAGGTTGCACTCCCCATCAGTGCAGGCGGCTCCGCTCTGGGGAGTCCACCACATGATCCTCCTCTTCCTCCTGGCCCTGCTGAAAGACCACAGCTGCTGCTCCTGGTTGCTGTGAGGAGAAGGCGGAGTCTTGGTCCCCAGTCACGGGCAGGGCTGTGGGGGGTGACCCTGTTTCTCCAGCAGGGTGGGGGCAGGGAGCAGGCTCACACTCCCAGGTGAGGGAGGCCCAGGGCTCCTGTGAGTTCTGGACACTGCTGTCTCATTCCCTGACCAAAAGCCCACAGGGTGGGGTGGGGTGGGTCATGACAGCTGTGATCCACCAAATGAGCCCAAGACCTGTTTCCCACAGGCAGAGTCTCTTAAGCATTTACTGAGACTGAGCTGGTGTGAGCTTTGGGGTGAACACTGAGCTAATCTCTAGGCCAGTGGTTTAAACTCACCAGCGGCTCCTCAGAAACCTTTACAGGCTTCGTAAGAGTCGGAATCCACTGAACGACACTTAACAACAGTTGGATGCTCCCAGTGCCCCTCCTCTCACCACCAGACAACAGACATGACACTCCATCAACAGCCACTTTCCTTAGAGAGGTGAGTGTGTGTGTGAGAAAGACAGAGATACCTGAAGGAGGCGGTCTTTACTGCCCCTCCCCCCAGTGCCAGCAGTGACTCCAAGGGTAACTCATGCGTTTGGCCTTGAGCACCTTGACGAGTATACTTGGCCCTCTTCCTCCTGGGGCTGAACCTGAGCTCCAGGTCCCCAGCCAGTTGAGCTTGTCCTGCCAGCCGCTTCAGGAGGTCAAGGAGGGCTTTGTGCCTAGTGGCCAGAGTGCGGACCCAGCAATTTGGGCTATTGTTGCAGACAGGGATGTGACCCGAGGGTCCCCCGTTAGAAAGCAGGGAAGGGGGTGTCTGTGCAGCCATTTTGGAGGCGCGCGCTGGCAGTGGGGAGGGAGTGTGGAGGTTTGCATTACCAGCTGCCAGACCGCGGCTGCCCTTGCTCACTCAAGGAGAATTCCCCCGGCCTGCCCTCCCACTGCCGCCGTGAATGCCTCCTTACACGTCCTGAGAAAGCATCCATAATGGCCCGCCGCCTCCCACCTTCCGAGGAATGTACGGCGCGGGCCCGCGGGGAGGAAGGGCGCCGACGGCCCCATCGCCTCCCCATTGGAAGGCTCGGCCGAGCTGACTCCCCTGCGTTGCTGGTCTGCCACGCGCTCACCTCCCTTCCCGCCACCGCTCCCGGGGGAGGAAGCGCGGTGGCCTTTGCCCCGTGAAGGCCAGCCAAGAATGCGGGGCGCGCTTCCCATTCCTCCCGCCCAGCGCTCCGGAACAGCGGGGGCGCCTGAACCCCACCGCGCCACCGGGGGCGGGGACCCATCCCGAAAGGCCGGACCTTGGAGTTCCGGCGCGCACTACTAATGATTACTGTCCGAGGGACACGGGGCAAATCCCTTCTCGACCCGTGGCAGGACCCCGCGCCCCGATGTGCAGGTGATGTGGCGGGACACAGCCACGCGCGGCTCTTCTTGCTACCAGTTAGCCAAAACCAAGCCCCAGTGTCGGAAACCTCCCCGTGTCTCCACGCCACAAGGTGCGCCTCAGCCCGGAGAGCTCCGCGTGCCTGAAGGCGGGAGAGCGCGGTGCCCGGCCCTTCGTCGTCCGCCGCGCCCTGGGCGCAGGGGAGTACCGCCTCGACACACCGCGAGGTCCTCGGAGACGCCCGGGAGGGCGGGGGAAGTCTCCAAGTTTGTGAGACGCGCGCGGCGGGACGGCACGTCGGGGCTTAGGAACAGCCCGCGGCCCGCGGTTCCGCGCGCCCCCAAGGCCAGGCGCGCGGACAGTACTGGGGTCTGCAGACCCGGTGGGGGCTCGGATGCTGAAGCCCCGACCCACTTCTACCATCGCAGTGGTCCCCGGGCCATTAGACTCAGCCGAGCCGGGTCCTCGCGAGGAAAGGGCGTGTGGGGACCCCACGCCGCACCACCCCAGCCACCGCAAGCCCAGGGGAGGGGGGCTTCCCACAATGCCCAGCGAGCTCCAGCCCTCACTTCCGCTGTCCGGCCACCCGCGGGGGGGCGGATGAGAAACGTCCCCCAACCGCGCCCCCCCC